CCGCCCCGCCCCCGCGCTCACGCGGGTTGCCTGCCCCGGCCGGGCCCCCGGCCTCTCCCTAACTTGGGCTCCCGGAAAATGCGGAGCCCAGCCTGGGGGGGCCGGGAGGGGGCTTATCCAGGAAGGACTCGACTCCTCGGGGTCAGGAAACAGGGGAGGGTCATGTCACACCTGGGCCGGGTTCTGGGTCTGGTGGCTCAGAGACCCTGCAGCGGTGACACCCGGTGCCTCCCGCGGCGGGAGAGTCCGACACCTTCCGCGGCTCCTGACGTTGGGCCCTGCGCCCTCGCGCCCTGCCCGGGTGCAGGCTGGTGCGGTGGCCAGCACCCCTGCACCGTGAGGGGCACTGGGGCGTCAGGCCCAACGCCCTGGGCATTCTGGGCCCGGGGGCGGGCAGTGCGGTGCAGCGGGAGGTCGTACTGACTTTTCTAGGGGTGTCCTGTGTGCACTCTTCGCCTCTCTCAGATTCCGGGACCTCGTGTCCAGTTGTCACTGTCCTCAAACTCGTTCCCTGGCCGACTTCTCCAGTCCCCACTCTGGGGTGGTCCGCGGGTGATGGTATCACCGTTACTTGGGCTGCAGACAGTAGGGGGGCTGCGAGTGTGCAAAGGTAGCGGGTGGAGGCGCACTGAAACTCGAACATTTGGGAAGGGGTTGAAGGGTGTGGAGTGGGGGTGAATCGTTTGTCTGAGCGGACAAAGAGCCATCCGTGCTGGGCACCTGCAAGTGCAAAGGCCCTGGGGTTGAACTGGACCTGCAGCGTCCCCACACAGTGTGGACTTCCCCTGAATGACAAGGGGCGTGCCATGGTGCGGGGCTGGGCTGGGACCCGGCCCAGGCTGGTGGCAGGTTGGTGGTGTAAGCATCTAGCAGGACGAGGCGCTAGTGATTGAGAGGGAGAGGTGGGGGGCAGGTTTGGGGGTGGATCGGAAACAGGGTTTCGGCCGGTGTCGTCTTGTCATCCCCCAAGGAGCAGGCGTGCGTGGGCGCGTTTGGGTCCCGGTCGACTCCGCACCGCTCTGAGCAGCTCTGTCATCGTTTGCGCGTTTGCTGTCCCACACCGGGAGGGGAGAGAGTGGGGGACATGGCGAGCCCCCGCTGCAGTGTCACAGAGGATCCGCTTAGTGGAAGCGGGGAGGGGGCAGTGCATTCTGGGGACCCCCAGATGGGGCTGGAACGGGCGCCTGGAGATCCCTCCAGGAGCAGCAACACGGGGAGGGGTCGGCGCACCCCGACACCCCC